GCGAAGAGTGTTGGTCAGTATAATGCTCAAAAGACATATTTTTATCTAACAAAAAACGCACGCAATAGATTCTCTCTTGTAGTTTTGGTGCTACCCAGCCAATGACGTCACAAAGTTCATTGACCTTCGAGATCATTTTTCAAAAAATTTTTCCAAGATGGCGGCGAAACACAAAGTCAGTTCCATGCATTTTATTCGTAGATTAAAATGTTCGAGAAGGAAATGATAATATTTCCATAGTTTGGTTGTCAATTATATAGTAGGATTGAAATAGCCAATAAAAATTTTCGTTGCCATTGTCCTTTAATTAATTTAGAATCGAAAAAGAAACATTTTGTACTTTTGAAAGCTATATTTTCAGGAAATTTAAATTCCAAAAATTTTGCTCTATATTAAATTGCGACTAACCCCAAATATAATTTTGCTATATGTGTAATATTTGGGACATTCTGAGAAGAAATGCAATGTATCTCTATAGTAAAAAATCTCATCTTGATCAACTTTTTCACTGTCAAAGTTTCCCGATATGATGTCATTAGGTGAATTTTTGGTACGAAAGACACAGGAAAACTAATTTGCAATTCACCTAATGACATCATATCCGGAAACATTGACAGTGAAAACGTTGATCAAGATGGGATTTTTTATTGTAAAGATATATTACATTTCTTCTTCAAATGACCCAAATAATACGCATACAAAAAATCATATTAGTGGTTAGTCGCACTTTAACAAACAAACAGCAAAAAAGTGTGAAAATAAATCTTTCCAAATTTGCAAAATGGAAACAAAATTTTAGCCAGAGCTTGTACTCGCACATGCCTATAACATCAAAAACCGTCCATCACATAATGGAGAACAACTTTGCACTTCGCTATGTCCTCACATACCCAGGTGTAATATAAATACCCGTGCAGAATTAGTACCCTCGGCCCAGGTTTACGTCTGGAACGGCCGTTGGCTCGAGGAACATGGAAAATGTTATTTCGCTGACCTCAGAATGACATTTCGTCAAAAGAAATTTCTTCAAGATTGGTTTAGAAACAAACTTGAAGTAGGGGTTAGGTTAGGGTTAGAATTAGGGTTAGAGTTGGTGTTTGGAATATGGTTAGTGTTAGTAAAACTGTTGCTTTGTTACGTTTTGTCACTCTGAGGCCAGCGAAACAACCTCTTCCGTGGAACATTCGTTGATGGGGATGCACAACCTGAAAAGTTCAATGCGAAATTGAACCTTTCGAGCGAAGGCCCTTCGTCGGGAAGTTAGTCGCGGCTGTCAGGAAAATAACATGAGCTTTTATACTATAGAATATAAAAGCATCACGTGAGAAAAATTGAACCAATCAGATGGATTTAGTTAAAACAAAGTATAAACAAAAAATTTGAATTACATTATAGACTAGAAAATACATGCATGCAGCAACACCACGCCTTCCTTAACAGATGAAGTATAAAAACTCCACATAAAAGTATTAAGACCACTATTAAAATGTCTGGCAACAGGCTGGTTTGCATCATTATTGCCAATGACTGCACGCCGATGCTCACCAAACCTTGTCCCCGAAGTTTCACCAATATCAAGCATGCCACATCTAGTGTATCAGATGCAGTACGTGAGATGGGAGGAAGTGAACGTGAAATGGTGTTTAGCATGGTATTGAGATTTTGGTGCCAGAATGGTAATAGAGAGTTTAAGCTTCGCGTTATACGTCAAACGGCAAACGGCAGGCAAAGAAAAATTTACGGTATCAGGCAATAAAGAGCAAGTAAACTTGCTGTTTTAAAACTGCAATGCATGATTATTTTTTCGACGCAAGAAAGAAAATATGAAACGAAAACGTTCAACGAAAAGTTTGCCAAGAAAGTTCGAACTTGCCGTTTGCCGTTCCCGGAAATGTGCAGCATAAACACCCTAGTAACAGAATCTATGAACTCGAAGGTTTCGCACTGGGACACCCGACAAGGAAACCGGTGCCATTCTGTGGCAACGAATCATGTGGTGAGGACCTATGAACTAGGGTTCCACGCATATTTTTTCTGTGTCGGAAAGAAACAAGGGGTTATTGGAGAAAAAAGATGCTTCAGGGTTGTTTTTCAAGAGATGGAAATTCTTTCTAATGACATCTCTAGATCTAACTTTGAATTTGAAAGGATGATACGTAGTGCTAATGAATTTTATTGTTGTTATTTTAATTTTGCTGTTTAAAAAGTATATGACAGGTGCGCGAGCTGTCGTTGGTATGATGTTTTGTGAGGGAAGGAGCATTATTGTGAAAATGTGATTTCAGAACGCAATCGTCTTAAAAGGATTCGGTTTCTATCTTAACTGAACTGAAAACAAATAAAGGGACACAGAGCTGGCAATAAATTTGAGACCTTTCGCGAGGACAGATCTCTCAGAGTCAGATAAGTTTAAATCAGGACGAATCGTGACAACTAAATTGGTCCCACCGGCTGAGCTATATAGTGTGACTCACTGCCCAAACGGGACTGTTACCTAACAATTAAGGAGTTGAATTTAGAGGCTTTGCTTGCTTAGAGAAACGACTAAAGTCTTGAATTCAACAAGCGAATGAATTAAATGATGTCTTTTCTTAAGCCAGATAAACTCCTCTGAGCCTTCGGTCCTTGGGATTTATTTGGCGTTAAAACCTCCGTTCTCGCTGTTTAACCTACAGTGATAACATACCTATCGTATTTATTTGGGAAATTGATAACTTGGTAAATTAAAATTGATAATTTCAGGCTGTTGCCTTTTTTCAAATTAAAAAAGTACTATATAAAAAGAATAAAGTGATGGTGTTACTATGCCAACCACTTCAACAACTTCATGGTTGGAAAATATATACGTATAGTAGTTTTCCTAGCAAGGTGAGGGGGTTTCTGCATGCATTTCTAGTCACAGACTAAATCAGTGCACAGTCTCAGACACACTTTCAATAGATCATTTTTAAATGAACGAACACAACGAATCGGTTAATGACAATACAAGAATATCTACAAATAGAGAATCACGGATTTACGAATGGACGGATTGACGTAAAGTAGGTCACTGCACGGCTGGTAATTGCGAACGAGTGAGAAAATTATAAACAATTGTACTATCGAACCAACCGTGAAGTAGCTAATTTGCTTATTATCCCCGAACGTTAGCCTGGGGCGAGGGTACTAATTCCGCCCGGCTATTTATACCCGGGGAAAGGAAAGCATTAGCGAAGTCTAAAGTTCATCAATAATCGCGGGCGCGTGACTATGGTTCATGGGTGGACGTCCTTAATGATCTCAAAAATAAAACTATTTTCCAGGAGCGGGATACGTAAGATTTCAAATTTCGAAAACATATATTTAGAAAATCACGTTTCACACAGTGACCTTTGAAGCAATTTTTGTTTGAAGAAATGAGAAGAATTAATTTACTATGGGAAATCGTGAAATATAGGGCAAGTTTTCTTTGAATGTTTCATGTTTAGGAATTTTGTTGCTTTAACTTTCTGCCTAAAACATGAACTGTTTTTCCTTTCCAATGAAGCTGTAAGTTTTCTAAATTACCGTTTAATTTAAGAAAAAAGGTAAAATGTGAAGGAGAGCAAATTAATTTGAAGACCTAACTGTCTTTAATCAACAAGTTGAACTTATTTTGTATTTATATTAAGCAAAACAGTTTATCGGCAAAAGCAGTTTAATTGAATGAACATCTCAAAACATTTAACGGAACGTTTCAGATAAAATTTTACATCAATTTAGATCAAAGCTCACAAAATGCAAAACATACCCACAGTACATATTTCAGAAATTAATTGTTGTATAGTTAAAAGTAGTAGTCTTTTCAAACTATTGTGCCGTTTTGTACAAAAAATATGAAAAACTAAAATTTAAAAATATCGTGTTATCATGGCAACACATGACGCCACAACGCGAGCCTGCGTTCAGTGTTGGCCAATTATGAATACTTCATATTAAATCAATGTTTGGAAAATATAGGCGGGGGGTTACTTCATGCATGTATTTCTAGTGTAAATATATATGCAAATAAATATTCAGTGATTCCGACAGGCAAACAGTTCACGACACACAAGCGTGATTTAAGCCGAAATTTATCTTCAATCAAATAGGATTAATATCAACAGGGCCGTACAAAGTTAATGGTATGTACCTTGTCTATTATCTCTGATCTGAAAACTAGTATTGGATGAAAAATTCTTTTCAATTAAATGATAAGCCGTGGGCCGCTTTCAATTAAACGATAGGCCGTGCGAAAAAGTGCTTAGAAAAGCAATTTCGTGGCAACCCCCTGGGGAATAGATTTTCTGTTCTTCAATTCATAGTACCATAGGTGCTCGATCGATTACCAGAAAAAGTTCCCAAGCAAAAAACTTGCCAAACATCGAGAAAATAGGTGATCAGTGATTATCCTCTATTAAATTGTATTACAGCAAGAAAATGTGAAATTTTGTATTCATTTACAACAAAAATTACTTGCATCATCAGTAAGCTTACAAAAATCTACATATAAGACATTTAAACAGTTTTTTTTATATCTCAAATTGTTTTTGAGTTATACGCTGTCAAAAACGCGTTTTAGACCTAGTACCCAGTCCTTATTGCGACGTTTTAGTCCAATTTTCACATTTAAAACAGCAATAACTCAAAGACTATTTGAAGAATCAAAAAACTGTTTAAAAGTCTTATATGCGGTTTTTGTACGCTTTCTGATGATGCAAGTTATTTTTGTTGTAAATGAATACAAAATTTCACATTTTCTTGCTGTAATACAATTTAATGGAGGATAATCACTGATCACCCATTTTCTCGATGTTTGGCAAGTTTTTGGCTTGGGAACTTTTTGCGGTAATCGAGCATCGATGGTACTAAGCAATGAACCACAGAAAATCTATTCCCCAGGGGGTTGCCACGAACCGAAATAATTTTGGCCCACGGCCTATGAGGCAATTTTGAAACTTTAATTTTTTTAAACTTGTAATAACCTTTACGAAATGTTACGTGTTGAAATCAGTTATATTATGAAGCAATGTGACTTGAAAGATATACAGTAGCTGTCCACTCCTTTTCTAATGAGGTTGATAACGTTTTAAATACTAGTGACTCTCATGGCAGCCGTATTATGTGACCATTAGTTATTATACTTCAATTTTAAGGAGAAAGATCACTGCTGGCCAATATCTATTTACAAAATATCCTTTCTCAGCAGTAAACAGAAATTGTTGCAACCTCTTCTACTACTGTAGTCAACGCCACCACAGTAGATTAGATGTTAGATGCACTATCCAGTCCTAACTTTCAGATCAGTGTTTTTTTCCGTCTGAAAGAACTTCTCAGACAAGTTTACGCGCAGACAAGCCACATATTGTATCTTATATGAAGTACTCCTTCAGTTCAACACGTTCTTTCCAATCACATGACCTGATAATTTTGTGCACCTCGACTGGAAGATTGGGGAAGAGGTTAAGAAAGTACTCCTGGGGATCGCCTACAGTGTAAAATATTTCTGGTCGCGGCCTTGGACGGTCATGCCAGTGTTCATTGATATTTCGGATCAGTCGTAAACAGTCCGTCCACGATGACTTATAATGAAATGTTTTCCCCTTCAAAGGATCGGTGGACAAATATTTCAGAACATCGGATCTCACCAGAGATGTCCAATTTTTGGGATCGCTATTAAACTTTCGCACGACATCTGATTTGATATCATGTGTCTTGATCTCAGGCTGGTTTCCCACTTTGCACAGCATGTTAAACTTCTGCTTCGCTGGCTGAAAATAAGGGTGTTTTAACGCCTCTTTAGCTGAAGGTCTATCTTTGGGATCGTGGCTTAGCATCCAGGATAATAAATCTTTCAAGACAGAATCTTTCAGCATAGATAAGCCAATTGGGTTGCCATGCAGTAGGTTACGAAGTCGGTCTGGTTTTTCTCCAAAGGGATGTTCACCTTTTGTCACAATGTAGAAAGCCACGATACCGGCAACCTATGCATGACAGAGCAAAATTGCAGTCATAGGAAAAGACATTCTTAGGGGAACAGCGAACCATAAAATTCGAGTTTAACGAAAAAAACATAAATCGACGCAAATGTATCTCCTGGAGTTACAGAGTTAGGAATGAATATTGATGGCGTCAGCATTTCTTTCAAAGGCTGTGAAGTTTTATGTATATTATGTATTTTATGAGCTAGTTTAAAAAATGCTTGGTTTAGAAAAAGTGCTGTTGAATCAAATATAATAATTTTGGCTAAAAAGCTGCTTTATTTAGAAACTTGTTAGTTTGATTGCAATATTAGTGCCGACTGTAATGTTTATTGCACTCTTGTTCGCAATGGTCTCGTCATATTGAAGATCGAAGAGAAACATTCGTACATGCACGAAGGGCAGGGATTGAAGATTTAAAATTTAATCACCATGTGTGCCCGGCATGCCAAAATGCGAAAACGAGGTAGTGCAATAGTGCAACACCCAGTAAAGTCTATTGCACAGAACTTGTACACTTCTAATAAATTCAATAAGGCTAATTAATATGGACACTCGTTGCAAAAGAGTGGGAAATGATTCGCGATCAATAATACATTCTATATGTATAGTTTCTATGGGTAAACCAACAGGATTCATTTGGGAATTCCGCAACTATCTTGTTTAGAAAGCAATATAAAACCTGTAATTATTACGTTTCCTCGTATCTATCGTCAACAAAACCCTACCTGAATATCGGATTCTTTCTTATAACGTACTTTACCGTCATCGATCGTGTCATTCAAAGGATGTGATGATTCAACGGCTCTCCAATCATCCGTTCCCCTTTGCTCACTTTGATGGGTACTGGAGCCTGCCGTCAAAATTCGGCTGATTCCAAAGTCTGCCAGCAACCAGTTACCATGGACGTCTCGCAAGATGTTAGATGGTTTCAAATCACGATGTAAGACGGGGTTTGGTTCTCGATGGAGATCAGCCAATCCTTTCAAAACTTTCTGAATGATATCTGGTGCGTTGGTTATAAGATCGTCCAAACTGCTATGATCAACAAATTCTTTCAACGTTTCCTCGCATAAATCCAGTATTAAAAATAACCAGTCCTTGTCGCTCTCGTCGTCTAAAAACCAATAACGTACCACATTGTTTGACTGGGTTGTGTTAGCTTCATTCAAAACTTTCTTTTCCTGTTCAGCAAAGCAAACACAGAAATCTCTAGGCAAACGTTTTACAGCCCTCTCGTATCCATCTTTTCCCAATCCTACATAGACTCGAGTGCCATCACTTCCCTTGCCAATGAAAAACACCTGCGAGCAACAAAAGCGGACACCGTTAACCTCCTTGATTTCCTCTGGGTGGCTTTTTCCATGTTCTTGCAACCTAATCAATTTTTCGCGATGAACTATCGAATTCTCTTCCCATTTCCACCCTTCTGAGCTTTCTAAATAATAGAAAAAGACCAATACCTTAAAAAATCCAGCTCGTTTTTTCCAACAATTTCTAAGTTGATTTGATAAACTACTTTGACAGCTCATTCATGCATTCGCAGACAGTTAACTAAAAGGCTAAACCTAAGTACTGATTTGACAACCAGTTTTTTGGGCAGTCGGGCAATATTCGATAAACAGTCGGGCCATTTTGGTATGCAATAAAAAAAAATGGGACAAATTCTGTTCATTTTGTCTAAAATTAAGTCAATTTTTTGGCAAATTTTGTGATTTTTCGAAAATTTGTGTTATGTTCCGAAAAATATTGGTTGCCCGGAAAATTTTTTTGACCCCTAAAATGGTACACTAACCGAAATTTTTTTGGCGACGGGGGGGGAGGTCGCCAAAATAATTTTTCCGGAAAAAATTTTTTGGTAATCGGGCAGAATCCCGAAAAGTCGGGCAATTTTCTTACCGCCTCCCTAATTTTTTCCTTCCGGTACGCCCATGTTGTCAACCACTGCAATAGTGCAATTCTTGAAATTATTGAAAGGGGAGAGAATTTATGTTGGATAGTGAATCTATGTTAAAGGTATGGTTGGGAACTGATGGGGGGTAGATTATTTTCCGCACAAAAAATGAATTTAAAACATGTCATACACATCTGCAAGCATAGACAAGAATAATTAAAGACACACTTTTAAAATTTCGATTTCAAATGTAATGTGATCTGTCAGCGCAAATTGTCAAGCAAGTTTGTTTGCCTCACGAAGCAACACGCAATAATACGAAGTTAGATACTGGAAGAAATAGATAATCATGTCCTGTATTTAAATTCGTCGTACATATTTTTTGCGTTATTTCGTAGAAGAGAGAAAACGAAAGTCCACTGTTCAAGTCACGCGGGAATGTTACGTCACACTAAGAAAACACGCGATTTTGGGTAGCAAACTAATAACGGACAGCAAAGAAAACGGCTGTCTGAATTTGCCAAACAATTACCTTTCTAGGCGATGAACTGGAGCTCTACCGAAGTACACTGTGAAATTTTGATGGCTAATGGATGCTGTGTATGTTTTTATTTAGCTCTAAACATTTGCCACAATGGCAGAAATGTGACGTCACTTGCAAGGACTGAGTATACAGCATTTTTGCTTTGCTTTCGGTAGTTCAAAATTTAAAAGATTTCATAAAAAACCTAAAGGATTGAGTAAACGGTTTTGTTGGTCCATAGAGTTAATAGAATATAATGCAGGCTTCTCCGTTTCAACTATGTGCTGCTGGATCAGCGTTTGGCCCAGGATGTGTGTATGTTATGAGCTACACGCACTATAGAACGAACTACTACAAAATTGGTTGCACTTCAAGAGATCCAAACCTACGTCTGAAAGAAATACAAAGATCCGAAGGAAACCCTGCTATCATGTTGGTTGGCTTTGTAAACGCGAATGAAATGAATGGTGCTGAAACCGCGGCCCAACAAGCTGTAATAGCGAATGGACTCGTGAAAGATCCTGCGCGTGGTGGAGCCACAGACTGGTTCATCGGTTCATTGACACCACAGCAAGTTTTGGACGTGGTTAGACGAGCCGTTTATAATTATAACCGACGCTAAGAATAAAAGATGTTGAACATTCACATTATTTATCAACACTTATATTTATTAGACATAAGTAGGAACGTAAGAATTAACAGTAACTATAAAACCTCGTAGAAAAAGGTGAAAAACCTCTTAGAACCGACATATTTTAGTTAGCTAGTGTACGTGTTAAAAATGTAATCATTTTGGTGTTTTCTCTAATCAAATAAAATGTCATTTTCATTTACTTCAAAAAAGTTGCAGCGTAAACAATTCCACTAAATATAAACTAAAGAATCATAGTATCGCGTCGTTACTGACGTACACTATATAAATGGTTCACTGAATTGGTACATGTATATCGATAAAAAGTAACAAATTATCATATACCTAGGCGGCTAGATGCCTAGATCACTTATTAGGCTATAGTATAGCAAAATGTCTTTTCATACAATCAAAACTAAGCTCTCCTAGTCATTCTCGCGATTTTGATTACAAGAAAAGTGCGCTATGTTTTCCCTCGCATTGCTTTCATAACATAATAACCTGTATGTTTAGACAACAATTTTAGCGTTGTTGTTTAATTTCTCAGTGTTGTTATTAAATTTCGCTCTTTCAAGCGTTGCCATTGTTATTTCATTTAGCTTTTTTAGCGTTGTTCAGTTTAGCTGGATTTCTATTGAAACTGCACTGCCAAAAAAGGTTGCTATGAGCCATCTGTTTCTTTGGGGTTTTCTTTTGTAGTATCTTATGAATTTCAGTTCCACTAATGACTCGTCATCGTTGCCGCTTTGGTAATTAATTAAGCAACAACTGTTTTTCCTAAATTAAAGCGCCCGCCAAATCGAGGTTGCCGCCGTACATAATTTGCTTGCCCGTTCTGAGATCGACCTTCAGCCACTCTTGCTGCAGATTATAAATAAATTGCTCTGATGGCTGTTAATCAAGTGGGTGGTGCTGCTGGATCAGCATTTGGTAAAGGTTGTGTGTATGTCATGACATACACGGTTCGGGACAGGAGAAAAACTATTAACTACTACAAAATTGGTTGTACTTCAAGAGAACCAAACGTACGTCTACAAGAAATTCAAGACTCGGAAATAAATAATATCACTTTGGTTGGTTCTGTTACAGCGAAAAAAATGAATGGTGCTGAAACAGCGGCCCAAAATGCTGTAAAAGTGGAGGGACTCGTGAAAGATCCTGCGCGAGGTGGAGCCACAGACTGGTTCAAGGGTTCATTGACGCCACAGAAAGTTTTGGACGTGGTTAGAACAGCAGTTGATAGTCATAATGATACATGAAGAATAAAAAACGTTGAACAGTTAAATTAATATATATCATCAGAGTACATAAGAATTATGAACTGTAACTGAACAGAGAGCAAAACTTCCAGTTCCTAGTTTGTGATATAGAGGACTAGAGTTAGCTTGTACGTGTCAATGTCTTTTAAAATTGTAATACTTTTGGTGTTTTCTGCAGTCGAATAAATGTCATTTTCAGTTAACAAATCACAGTGTGAATTCCACTAAATTTAAACTCATAAGGAATATATCGCGTCGTGACTGACGTACACTATATAAATGGTTCACTGCATTGGTACATATATCGATAAAAAGTAACAAATTATCATATACCTCGGGCTAGGTGCCTAGATCACTTTATTAGGCTATGGTATAGCAAAATGTCTTTTCATGCAATCAAAACTAGGCTCTTCTATTCATTCAAATTTTGATTACACGAAAGTGCGCTGCGTTTTTTTCCCCGCATTGCTTTCATAACATAATCTGTGTGTTTAGACAACAGTTTTAACGTTGTTGTTTAAATTCTTAGCGCTGTTACTGAAATTTCGCTCTTCACATCAAACAGATAATATACCGCTTGATGCAAAAATTACATAGGTGTCCCTGGGGAAAGGAACAGGACTGCGTCCCAATTGACACCTAACTCCTTGTATAGACTTTACTGTTTATTCCACTCCAACTCCATTGAGACCTCCCTTCGATCAACCTCGTTCCCAGGCTCTTTCCTCCGGGAACGAGGTTGCCCTTCGATGTGTTCATGGCAATGCAATAGGGTTATAACACGTTTAGTGCACCGAACACTGTATGTTACTTTTTCTTGATCAATAACTAGCCTAACCTTAATTCTATTTTACACGTAACACGAGGAAACCGTGCAGTCAGTGACACATAGAAACGAGCCATGTTTTCAAGTTCGTTTTCAGTATCAGCCCAGTTTTAAATTCCATTGCAATTTAATGCAGGGGCGGATCTAGGGGTAGTCAGATTAGTCACGCGACTAACGTAAAAAAAAGGCATATAAAAATTTGGACTAAGGTTTTTGAATTTTTTCCCAGCGCAAACGCTTCTCTTCATTTCTGATCATGCAATCAAAACTACATCACACTCCAGCATATAAACTTCGATCAGTTTTTGCACATTGAGCCAGCGATTGATTAGTCAAACGATAAGTCAAAAATGAAATGAAAATTGACTATTCTGCATTTTAGTTCAGGTGATTTGATTGGTCAAATTTGCTCAGATTACACATTACAGGCATGTTGATTGGTCAGACTTATTTTGACTAACGATTGCGCAATTTTGACTATTTTGACTAATCTTGCAAATAGATAGCAGCTTCTGATTGGACAATTTGCGCAAAAGAGTTACTGCAATTCTCAAATCATTCAAGCATTTTTGAAATTATTGAAAGAGAGAGGATTTATAGTGGACAGAGCGGAGTATATATTCAGAGGTACACGGCGCCGGCGGAGCGAATTAATTTATGCGAGCAGAAAATGAACTTTAAAACATTTGCTGCCATACGTATCTATGAACATAGACATGCAAGAATAATTAGAGACACAGTTTTAAATTTAGTGTACAAATAAAATAAAATAATACAATATATATGTCGTGTCATTACAAATTGTCAAGCCCAGTTTATTTGGCCCACGAAGCAACAATAATACATGCAAAGTCAGATATTGAAATAGGTAATCATGCCTTGTATTTAAATTCGGCGTCATTTTGTTTACACGAAATGCGCGCTGTGTTTCCTCGCAACTTGCATGTTCAGATTAAAAATTTAGCGTTATTTAATTTCTCAGCGTTGTTATTTAATTTCTCAGCGTTGTTAAATTTCGCTCTTTCAGCGTTGCCATGCATCATTATTTCATTTAGCTTTTTTAGCGTTGTTCAGTTTAATTTTCAATGGTTTAGTCAGATTTTACTAAAATTACACTGCAGACGAAAAAAGGTTTCTATGACTATGAGCCATGTTGAGCTGTTTTTTCTATTTCTTTCCTTCGCAGTATTTTATGGATTTCAGTTCCACAAGACGAGTCCGCATGTGGTTTTGGTGGAGTCTTTTTAAAAGCGTAGCCCGACCGTAGATTGCCTGGCAGTTGTTTCACTTCTAAGATCACGGAAGTAGGTTTTATTCCTGCTGTAATATTACAAAGTATTTGGTGTGATGGACGACGGGAAGGTTCTGGCGTGGTGTAAATTTTAACATACGCTGTGTCTGCATTTTTTCAGTAGCCTGTGTTTTTAGCGTTGTTATTAAGTTTATAGGTCTTCCAGCGTCGACGTTGTTATTAAATTTAGCTCTTTCTTAGCATTTGTTTGTAATTACTTGGCGTCGTCAGCATTTCTGTTTAATGTTGTGTCATTTTTCGTCTATAAATGTAGAACTACAGAAGAAAATGATTAACTATATGCGGCTTTTTAAGGTTTTCCTTCGCTTTCAGTGTATTTTCAAATTTCAATTTCATGAATTTCAGATCGGCTAAAGTTTTAAACGACTCTCGGCATCACCGCTATTTTGGTAGTTATTACTACTTAACGAGCTAGTTTTTTTAAAGCATATTAAGTACCAGCTGTTTTTTTTTTAAAGCAGACAAATGAGCGTTGGCCGATCGTATATAATATGCTTGCCCGGCAGTTGTCAGAGCAAACACTTTTAACCTCTGAGATCGTGGGTTTAATTCCCGACGCTGCAGACATATTAAGTAATTGCTCAAATGACGTCCCAGTACCCTCTCTATCGTTTAGTGCAAGTGGAGCAAGAGGGTGGTGGTTCTGGACGCTGGGAAGGCCCAGGCGTGGTGTATGTTATGACGTACATCTGTCAAACGACGAAAACGAAGTACTACAAAATCGGTTGCACTTCAAGAGATCCAGAAATACGTCTGAAAGAAGTAGAAATGAAGGAAAGGAAGCACAGAGGAAACAGTTCAGTTAGAATCCAGTTACTTGGTTTTGTACACGTGGACAAAATGAGAGAAGCTGAAACAGAAGCTCAGAAACATGCAGCAGAAAAACTGGGTCTCCAGAAACATGTTGGTTCACGAGGGAATGCAACGGACTGGTTCACCAACACCAGAAACGCGACGACAGAACAGCAAGTTCTGGACGCTGTAGGAGAAGCATGCGGCGGATCAGTGTATCAACAATATGACTTGGATACTGACATCAACTGCTACACAAAGAAAGGGACGGAATTCACGGAAGAACCACTTGATTTTATGTCCATAACAGCTAAAGCAGTTAAAGAGGCCAATAAGCGTTACAAGTCAGGTTATGTGTTTGTTACCAAAGTCAAGGTAGACGGGAGCTCAAATCGTTACAGTTACTATATTGATTGCACTGAAGGCGATCCAGTAAAGCGTGTGCAAGAAATGCAAAACCATGAGTTAACTGGTTTTGTGTATGCAAAACAAATGGAACGTGCTAAAAAGAAGGTTGAGGACGCTGTCATTGCTTCGGGGTACAAACGTGTATAGGCCCAGGGCAAGAACTGAGGGATTAAAGTTTCACTGAGACTGACTAATTGACACCATACCATGCCATACCATGCGTCGACATAATGCTAAACAAATATAATTTTTGAAAAGCGAAGAAATTAAAAAAAAACAGACGAGTAACTGAACTACTGAACCATGTGTGAATTTGGGATATAATTCAAAGTATAGTCTATAGACATATACAAGTATAGTTTATATGTATCATTTGTCGTGCAATGATTTTCATGCTTAAAAACCTGTAAAAAGTGAAAGCAGATTAAAGTAATTAAAGTAGAATGTTAAAGTAGAATCTTAATTCGTAGCTCTGTCTCTTAGGGTTAGGTAATGCAGCAATATGTTTGATCATGACAATGGACCATTTGCATTATAGACTAAATTTTGATCTAGACAAAAATTTCATCACATCTTGAAAGAGCATCACAAAATTAGTAATATTCCAAAGTTTTGTTGCGAAATGTTGTAAAATGCGGATAATATAGCCTTGCAAAATTTGCAATTTTCAGTCATTTTGTATTACAAACGGGAAATTGATGCCCCAACACCCGATTGGGCTGTCAATTTCCCGTGCGTAATACAAAATGACTGAAAAAC